AAAAAACATGGGCGGGGGGGGGGGGGGGGGTCCTCAGGTGCAACAGACACCTCATGTCCGGTAGTATCCTCCTCAGGTGGAACTAAAATGTCCAAAGCAGTGGGGTTAGACCCATCCTTTTTCACTTGAACCTTAGATTTCAAATTAGGATGAAATTTGTGGCATTTAGCAAAGATATGACCAAACATCTTACAGTGGGTACAATATGGGGGTTTGTGTTCCATGACAATTCGTTGTAAATATTCAATATGGGTTGTGCCCAGCCAGACTTCAGTAACATAAGGTAAAGTAATATCCATTTCCACAAGTATTCTGGCCACCAAGGGTCTGATTAGGCTGAAAGTAGGCAGATCTAGTTTCAAAGGATCCTCAAGGATGGCCCTAATAGAGTAGGGAACTTGATGGTGAAAAAAATGCAGCTTGAGAGTAGATAAACTAAATCATACCGGTACAGTGGGAATTTCTGTAAATATCCAATATGGGTTGTGCCCAGCCAGACTTCAGTAACATCAGGTAAAGTAATATCCATTTCCACAAGTATTCTGGCCACCAAGGGTCTGATTAGGCTGAAAGTAGGCAGATCTAGTTTCAAAGGATCCTCAAGGATGGCCCTAATAGAGTAGGGAACTTGATGGTGAAAAAAATGCAGCTTGAGAGTAGATAAACTAAATCATACCGGTACAGTGGGAATTTCATGATTTGGGTCAAAATTAGGAGACCACTTGAGTAACTTCATTGATTTGCCTTTGATATTAAGAAATTTCTTGGAGAAAATTATGGTGTAGTTTTCAGCCACAGTTAGTTGGATCAACACATGTCTCTTATCCATGAGTAATTTCTTGGAAAAAATTACGGTGTAGTTTTCAGCCACTGTTAGTTGGATCAACACATGTCTCTTATCCATGAGTCCCACTTTCCAGTTGCCTACTAGCTTAAGATCTTCAACACACTTTCTGATAATATCCATAGGAGGGTGTCCCCACTGAAATTTTCCAATAAGAACAAACCTGAATTTTTCCGTCAGGGTAAGAATTTTTTATTCAGAGAAAAAGATTACTTCTTTTCCACCTTTCCTACTTCCCTTCTTAATAAAAGGACAATCATCTGTGCCCTCGCGAGATTCCTTTTAACTTGGGGAGAATCCATCTGCGGACTCCACATGAGGGTTACCCACCACGCGGGCAAAGGAGACTTTGTCCGGCTCAATCAAAGAAGAAGGAAATGCCATCAGAGGTTGTCGGCGTTAAACTGCTGCGAGGTTTGAAAGGCAGAGGAGTGGTCGGGCGCACCAGAGGCCGAAGACGAACGTGTCGAGCGACTCTGTCAGAAGCGAACGCGTCATTGTTGAGACGAGCCGACGAAGACGAGCGTGAAGGGAATTCAACGTCTTGCCCTAGTCGTTCGAAGGAAGGGAGGATGCGAGTAGCTTCATGTGTGAAAGTGGAGAACCGATTGAGCCTTGAAGCGAAGAACCAGCTCAACAAACCCTAATCGAGCGGCTCTGATGCGGGTGTCGTAACAGGAAGGAGGAAGAGAAGAGAGGTTGCGTAGTGATGAAAGATAGTAGTCTATTTATTACTAATTTTTTTTTCATTTTAATTTTTTACATGTTATTCTAATATGTACTAGATAATCATATGACTTTGTTAGAAGATTCATTATATGTTTATATGAAGTTAAAGCCTCCTTCTTATAAGAATATTATTATGAATCATCGTTAATATTTAGAATTATCTTTCACCAATCCATCGTTTGTTCCAGCCTTTGTTAATTCTAAATTCTAAGGCATGGTGATGACATATTGAATAAACAATTGTGATAAATAATAAGAAATTTTATAACAAAAAACATAAAACAACATTATTATAATATTTTTAATAATTTAAAGATAAATTATTGATTTTTATAAAATTTGAGTATATTTTAAACAAATTGGCTCACCAGCTAATAAGTTAATTTTGGGTAAGCTTGGGTGTGAATTATTCACGAGCCAATTATCAAGTCAAGCCCCAGCCAACTGACAATTAAGCTTGGCTCAATTGCAACCCTTGCAATAGCTACCAAAAGGTCTTCCATGGCCAGCATCTCACTATTAAATAAGGTCAAAGCTTCTTATAGACAAGCTATCCTCTTGCGACGTCCATAATATTAAACAATTGTGTCAGAATGTTCTCTTAAATTTAGCAAAAGAAGTAATGACTGTCAAGGCAAGCAAGTGAATCATAAGAGGACAAACTCTTTTAATAAACAATAGGTTGTGCTTCAATGCAACAATAATGTTAAGCAAGAAAACAATAGCTTTGAAAGAAGACATGAATAGATAAAATCTTAAACCATTATGATGGCTTCACCTTTGCAATCTCCTCTGAGAAAGCCCTATTTGACAAAGGTCGTCTATTTCCCTCATCTCTTCAATAGGAAGTAAAGATTTCACTGTCATCACAATATGTATGAACTCATTGGCATCTACTTCTTATACGGTTGATCTTAACGACCACAAAACCACTACCTATCTCCTCACTATAAAACATGAGAATCAAGTGTTGCTCAACATTAGGGTTTTTTTCTAATAAAGTACTTTATTGCTGCCCTAACATCCTCATAACTTCATTCTTGAACTCTGCAAGTTTTTTGGCCACAAATTATTGTGTTTCATGAACACAAATGTGTCCCTGCCACTACGATCACTATGTCGGTAGATAAACTTTTAGTTTGTGACATATCCAAACTCATGGTACCATAAAACATGTTGAATCAAGATATGCAATGTGTACACACCACAAAGGCAAAATACATAAGATGAGAGACAAAGAGAGAGCCATTAAGTTAAAAATCATTTCTAGGTCTCCTTTAGTCCAACTTTGAGTCTCTATTTATAAATTTTTAAGAAGACATTGACATATTTACAAGATTTGAAAAATATTTATCAAAAAAATACACAGGCACATTATAAATATATATATACCATACATCACGTGGCTAAATCATATCAAACATTTTTTGTTATGCAAAACATTGGACCTAAGGGTGAATTGCGAATATCAAAGCAGTCCACTAAGTAATACATCAGCTTTGAGTTAATCAGATGGTGGACACTTTAGCATCCCATAGCCTAGTACTGTTAAATTGCTTAATTAGATGAACACGGCATAAATTTCTTCACTGGCCAAGTCAACGCATTATCAAGAATACTTGTGTCGTGAGTTTATCAGGTGTACAATAAAAACACCAAAAGCAAACAAATATATCAGGTTCCAAAAACGATCAAATCTGCTCATCTGCAAGACTAATACCTCAATAATGTTAAATATATGGAATAAAATTAATGTCAAACGTTATGACAATTTAGGGCAATCAATAAGAAAATTAATGATTAAAATGAGTTTAAAATTTAAGTGCATTTTATAGGTTAGAAAAAACTTAACACTAAGCTAAAACTACGAAATAAAAATATGCACAAAAAATATACTGAATAGGAAATAGACCTGTAAGTCTTTGAGTGTTTTAGTATATAAACTAAACATTAAAAAAATTAATTAATTTAATATTGATTTAATTTTAATAAGACCTAAACGATGGGAATATTGCATAAAAAAAGTCCAAAATTCATACAGAGTTGATAAATAAACAAGTAAAATGCAAGTCAAACATGTCAACCGGTTTGAACCTCAAACAAATTAAATAAAAAAGCAATGAAATATGTTCATACAATATTAGAAACATGTTTGAAAAAATATCAATAAAATTAAACAATGGTTCAAACTCGATGTGAAAAATAATTCAAATATGGTTCAAGCACTGTTTGACTAAGATCTAGAATAAAACAAAAAATGTTGCGATATCGAACGTAAACAAGGATTAAGTTTTAAACTCTACTTATTTTGTAAACATCGAGTTTCTCTTGGCCTCCCTCCCACCATAACCTACAACTACAGCAATAGAATGCATTTAAACCTAAAGAATCAAATATATAAATCCACATAGTTTAAATATAAAGTGATTAGAAATCTAATGTAAATTAGGATTAAATTTTAATGTCTACACTCTACTAATTTTGTAAACATGGTGTCTTCTCTTGCCCTCCTCCCCACTCTAACCTACAACTACAGCATTAGAATGCATTTAAACCTAAAGAATCAAAAATATAAATCCACTACTTTAAAATATAAGATGAATAGAAAGTTGAGCGATCACTACAAAGCTCTATCATAAACGTATTACATGATTGATATTGCAAAAGGCGAAAGATGATGGATGATATTTAAGTAGCTTTATATTTCTCTTAAGTCGAGGGTTATGACTTGTATCTTAGTATGGCAATAGAAGTTTTGTCAAAAATAAACTTTTGACCATTTTGTCAAACAAAATAAACATCAGGGAACTTGGGATAACTACATGTATCAAAGAGTACAAGACCTGGCAGCAATATAGCTAAAAACTGAGAAAGGTAGAGTTTGACAAGTGAAATATAGTTTTCCTTTTTTTTTAATGCAAAAGTTTTTTATCAGACTGATAAGGCTCAAGGCAATATCAAGTAGAGACTAATTCAGGGAGAAAGATATTTTTTAGCTTATTACTCATTTAACACATCCAAACTTTATAAGCTTAGAGAGTATTGTCATGAAAAATAAGTAACCCGGACATAAACACTGCAAATCACGTATAAGTGGACAAATGAATGTCACACATTCAAGATACAGTATTTTTTAAACATAAATAATTGTGTAGAAAAAAGTCTTCTTGAAAATTTAAAATTAAACAAAAAAAAGGTCAACAAACATTATGCATCTTAACCACCAACATATCAAGCTAGATGATCCAAAATACAACCATATATCATGTAAATAAACAGCCAAGATTAAAAAAAATGATCCTACATGCCACAACAAATCGCTAGATAACCATCATTCATCCAAAGTAGAATAAAATGCAAGTAAACCAAAACAAAAAAATTATCACATAAAACGGTGATCATGATACGAATGTTCTCGCCTTAGATATCGCCTTCAAATCAGGTCGCTTTGATGCTCTTTTGATATCTATATCATTTTTTGGCACCTGCATGAGTACAAGTTATCGGAAATACCAAATTAATCAACAAACACAAACTCTTTATTTACATGTTCACATGCTACAACGGGCCTGAACTGTACAGGAACATGCTAGAATTCTACAGCGCAATTCAATGAAGTATTGATTATCTGAGGAACAAAAATTTCACATAATAAATTAACTGACGGAAAAAATCACAGCCAAGAATTTAGCAAAGAATATGTTGAGTAAATGCAAAACTATGGAATAACAACAACCAAGAGAAACAAAACTATTTCAAGAAAGTTTTTTTGGGAAAAATTTTGAAAAAAAATCCCACATAGGAACTAAGTCAAAAATTAAATAATCATATTTAAATAAACAAAATATTGAAAATATTACAAAACTTTGAACTAAGTTAAAAAACATCTAATTAGTGGTTCAATAGCCAAAGTCCTGAAATTTTTTTTTGAATTAGCAATCAAGAGTAGAAGCCTTATGGAACCATGGAAGAACATAACAAAAGACTAAATAAAAGTGTGTGTGTGTGTGTGCGCGTGTGTGTGTGGGTGGGTGGGTGGGTGTGTGTGTGTGCGCGTGTGCGCGTGTGTGCGTGTGGGTGGGTGTGTGTGTGAGAGAGAAACACCTTCTTAGTGTTTTCATTCTATGAAATTTGAAGTCACCTGGGTGCGTGGGTGGGTGTGTGTGTGAGAGAGAAACACCTTAGTGTTTTCATTCTATGAAATTTGAAGTCACCTTTCCTATCTTTTCATGAAATTCTTAAGTATTCCTCGAGCAAAGTATTAACTTTTAATAATTTAAGATGACCTCAAAATATTTTAGGTTTACGCGAGGTCAAAAATATATAAAGCGTGAATCACGGGCGAGTCAACCATCTTGATTGTGACACAATCTAGATAGCTCGAGACGCCTCGTTGCTTTTCCTGTAACGCATCCAAGCATCTAGCAACCATTGTCCATTTCTATACCTAAGTCATCTTCGCTCTCATAATCTCAGCTTAACCGTAGCCTCCCCAACAATAGCAAGCACCTAATCCATAATCTTCATAATCTGAGCTCGGCCCCAAAGGAAAATACTCCAACCCTCTCTCTTCTAAGAAAACTCAACCCAAGAAAGCAACATTTTGATTAATTAATCAAATTTAATTTCAAGTTTAAAGCTCACAAGACAGCTGTTTAATATAAAAAAAATTGTCTAAGGAAAATATTTTAGTAAAATACATAAGAATAAGTAAATAAAAAAATATTAAAAAATCACATCACTAAAAAAACAAACTATAATTTTTAAATATTTTCAATAACATATATTAGACCCTTTAATTTAATATATTTAAGCGTATTGTATATTAATATTTCTTAAAATAAATGGGCTCATACAATCGCAAGTTCTCATAAATTTAACATGGCAACCTATCATAGAAGTTGATCAAAAATCACAAACAAACAAAGCAAGCAAAGAAAGGGGACAAATTCCACATAAAACCACAACATTGTAACATTGCTTGATCAGACCAACCTCTCAGTCTCTATTCACATCTCAATGGGTATTTGTCCTTAAGCTTATTTCAAACATACTATATATTATGCATCTATGTTAATTGAAACAACCAAGAGAAAAATCAAAAAGGCAATGAAAATTAGTCTTCACAATGTTTGTTGTTCAAATTTTCTTCAAGCTTTTCAATTTTCTGTATTATTTCATGTTCAAAGAACGACTCTACCTCCTAATAGCAGTTCTTCTTTCTTTATTCATTATGAGTTTTCTTCCTTCAAGCATGAATTTTCTTCTCAACTCAAACTCATCAGCCATCCGAAACCACCAAGCTAAAAATGAACAATATATCAATTCCACCTCAACTTAAATTCCTCATGTCCAAGGTCAAAAATATTCTTCATATCCAACTTGATGCGGATAAGTCGATAGTTAAAATGTGGCACTACAATATTCATATACTATTCAAAGCAAATGGTTTTGATAAGTTAATAGTTATCATGCCAACAAGTCGATAGCTTATTTCAACCAACTTCCCACCAAAACATCTCACCACCCATACAAGACAATATTTCTTCAACATTCATTATAATAAATGGATGCTAAGCAACCAAAAATCATTCAGCCTATGTTTTGAATCTAGCACAGTAATTCGGATTATCATTGAAAAATGCCTTCAATTGATAAAAACAATTCAAGTAATCCAGTTGAAGAATATAATACATAATCTGTTGATGAATACTCAAACTATAAAAGATTTATTAAAAATAAAAGCTAAGGTAGACAATATCATTGTTGTTAGGTCATCTAGTGAATACTAAGAATGTCATTCACGATGGTCTTCCCCAAATTTATCAAACATTCAAAACTGTTATAAGGACAAAACTCACTCCAATAAGCTTTGAAAACCTTTATTCCATAACACGTAGTGAAAAGTCAATATTGTTGAAGAATCTAACAATGATCCTCTCAATCAAGATTTAACGTTAGTTGGAGACATCTCTATTGCATTAAATCTTTACATATTTCACGTCGAAGTAGCCGTTCAAGTTCATCTTTCACTTCTCGTGGATGTGGCCAACTTTCTTAACTTGTGATCTTAGTACCTTCTTGTCTACCTTTTATAAGGGTAGTGACACATTTAGAATCCTTACTATACAATGCTAAATATAAGGTAAAACACGTCATTCAACATCAAGTCATTGGTATCGTTCCAACTTAAATTACATGCCATCTACCATGACTTCACATGTTCCACTTACGACAACTTAGCGAGTTACAATTAGCATATAGACTTAAACTAATTCATCCCCAACAACCTCAGTCATATTCTAGAAAAGGTCAGGTTTATGTTAGCACTTGCCAAGCATTATACATAGCAAACATCGGTCAAGGTTCACCTCAAGCACTATCACGTGAGATCGTGCTCTTTAATGTTCTTCATGTGCCAAATCTTGCTCACAATTTTCTTTCCATCATTAAACTTCTGAAAATCACAGCTCTCTCTTCCTTGATGCTTCCAGTTTCAAGCTCAATGACCGGGCAACTCACCAAATGATTCCTAAAGGACCTTTTCATAAAGGGACATAACATATCTCATACTTGTAGCTGCCTTTTCACAATGCAAAAAAGCATGCTTTTCTTTCTAATTTAAACTCCAAAATGGTGTGGCATCGTCCTTTAAACACCAAACAGATCTACAGTATCAATTATTATATAGGAATTCTCTTTTAATGCATTTCTACATTGACTAATAAATGTAATTCATGTCAACTTGAATTATTGACCTCTGATGAATGTGAATCATCCCCAATTAAATCTACTCAAGATTACCATTATTATATATCATTTATAGAGGATTTTTCAAAATATTGTTGGGTTTATCTTCTGACGAACAAATCTGAGACAACAAAAATTTGTTCAATTTCAAATTATAGTTGAAAAATTACAAACAGCTCTCAAATATGGTGTACAGATGGTGTTGTAGAATTTAATAGCATCTATCTTTAAAACATATACTCAACAACAAAATAGGATTGTTGAGCGCAAACACAGAAATCTTACTGAAATCGTTCACACCATATTGAAGTTTAGTTGCTACGTAATACTTGGGTTGATACCCCCTCCACATACAACAGTTTATTTCATCAATTGTCAACCACCAAATCATCTCATTTTAATCCCCTTCCAAAATCTATTCCATAGAGAACTTAATATCTACATTTTCGAGTTCTCAATAGCAAGTGTTATGCTTAGCTTCCTCATTAATTACCAAATGTCCTTGTATGGAACTGCATCAAATGAAAAATATGGGTGGGGTTTTCTCTTTACTTTTGATGTTTGATAGAGAATTCAAAAATGATTGAAAGAGGGTTCTTGACTTGTTGATAGTAATGTTGTGGATCTAGAGGTGGAGATATATGTTAGTTTGTGTGTGGAGATGGTGGTGTACGTTGGTTTCTGTGTGGAGGTGTTGGTTGGCGTATGGTTGTGTTTATGTTAGAGGACGTGTTGGTGGATGTGTGGAGGTGGTGGTTGGTGTGGTTGTCTGTGTTATAGAATGTATTGGTGGATGCGTATGGGTGGTGGTGGTTAGTGTGTAGTTACGTTTGTGTTTGAGGATCTCTTGGTGGATGGGTGGAGGTGGTGGTGGCAGTGTTGGTGGTTTGTGCGAATTTGTTTTTGTGGAGGTGTTGGTGTTTGGAGGTAGTAGTGATGGTACTGTGGATGTGTCTTGATGTGTTGGTGTGTGGAATTGTTTTTGTATGGAGGTGGTGGCAGTGGTGGTTTGTAGGTGTAGTGGTGTGGTGTAGAGGGGCATTGGTGATGATACTGTGGCATTCCTATTTTTCTTTGAGGTGATATTGTGTCATTCATTTCTATATTGATTAGTTTTTTTCTCATGCTAATAATACAAAGGTTAAAACAAAAAAGGTCGGTTCGTCTACAATGTATGGTAAAATTAATATTTTGTGATCTTTACTTCAAGGAGGTCGAGTTTAGAAAATAGCTCAACAATCTATTTTAAACAAGAGGGCCAGCAAAATATTATTAAAAAACTTAACGAAAGCACAGGCAGAGAGTATGATAGCTTGCAGTTAAAAAACAAGTGGGGTCTGCCAAAAGGGGAATGAAAAATCTGGAAAGAATTGAAGTGAGGATCCACTGGCATGAGTGTACGTTCGATAAAGTGAACAACTGACACTTCAGAGGAGTGATGGGCAGAGAGACTAGCGAAGAGCATTATTGAAACGACCATTGCTTTCGCCAAGTTTTTATTTTTATTTCAAATCCATCAGCATGTCATAAAACTTTATAGGTTGTGCTAGCTATGAAAAAATTTAAATACAGTAGCATCAATCTTGAGCTGGAAGAAAAGTTAAATAGTATGTTTGGTGGTATTATGGCAACGCGCAACAATGCATGTGCTCCCAGTAAGACTGGATTTAGTGGTAAGACTGGATTTAGTGGCATCCCTGAAGATTTGGTTGGTAAAGAAACAGGTGATTCTAAT